CTCTTCCTCTCAGAGTGGTGCATTGCTAAATACCCCCATCCCTTACTTTCCTTACCCTCCGCTTCCTGCATATCCCTTCCCTCTTGTCTCTTATGCCCTCATGTCATCTGCTCTTTCTCAATCCATTTGTCCTCTTCATTTTGGCCCAGCGCCAGGACGTGCACCTGCATTTAGAGACAAACGGAAGGTGCTGATGGTCCGTAGAGCTCCTGTTGTGTCAGCTCAACTTGAGTTGGTGAACGTGCTTGTGTATATTTGTTGGTTAAGCGTGTTGGGGTGTTAATATGTATAAGGCTTCCTACCAAAAGCTATTTCAGAGCAAATTCGACCCACGTTTAGTATTGGAAATCATTGCTTGTTTTGAGTAGCACTACAGACTTTTAAATGAGCATGTGTGTGACGAGAGAGAGAGCAAGTAGAGGTTAGCAGCACCTTATTTTCTCGCTAAATTCCTCCTGCCTCTGGTATACAATATTAATTTGCTATGAAGTGTGACTGTGTGAAGTAAGCTGCTCAACCTGTTGTACATCTGCTCTCCCTTGTGTATGTCTAAAATGGAGGAACACTTGTACATTGCAGAGCTGCAAAGAATTGTGGGTAATTACCAGGGGCGTAGGAATGATATGAAAAGTCGGGGGCACATTATAAAACCTTATCAGCTTGGATCATGAATATTAATAGGGTGATATAAGGTGAAGCCAGTAACAACAGATTTGTTGAAAAGCAGATAAGTGGGCACCAGCCATTTAAGCCAATTGCATGTGCATTAGTTTAACAGTAAACAGTTGGCTTCTGTTGGATCTTAAAGTCCCCATGAAATCAAAATTAACGTTTTTTTGGGTGTTAGTATCAATATGTTAGTCTTAAGGTTATCTATAAGGCAGTGTGCTCCAAAACAGTGACAAAATTCGCATTTAGAAGACATAAGCATTCAAAGCTTTTAGCCAAAACGGCCAAAACGGCTCAACGATTTCTTTGACGTCACATCGTACTTCATCTTCTCATCAAATCTTCTGACCAATCAAACGCTCTCTAGAAGCCGAAGCGGTTGGGTTTCTTTTGTCACGTGAACCGCGGCAGCGTGCAGAGTCTGATTTTGGCTCCGGTCCAGAGATGCGATCACACGGAGCGGATCATATGCGCGAGTCGGCATATATTAAACACTTTTAAAACTACACAGCCTCAGCATGATTATGATCACTATTTTGTTTTACTAAGAGTTTCATATTGAATCTAGGGGGTAATCTATTAGACTGTGGCTGTCAAATGCGGCTTTACCAAGCTCAACGGCTCTGGCCCGTGCAGATATAAACAAAACGCTATTGGCTAATTTAAAAAGGGGGCGGGGCTGCTCGATATGTCCTGCCCTGTCTTCCTGTTTCAGTTTAAATTACGTCACCACATAGAATAACGCTGCGTGTTTCAAGGCACTTCAGGGGACCTTTAAATTCGGCATGAAATGAAAATTCAATTCTTAATTGTTATTGAATGTTAATGATGCAATTGACCGTTCACAGGGAGCTTGATTGACAGGTGATCTGATCAATCAGATTGCGGATATTATGTGCCGCTGTTGCTATTTGCCATCTTGTCCGACAGCTACCACAGTAACGGCAATAAGCTAAAGGAATTCCTTTAAAGTACTTGTCTTGCATACCAGAAAATCTGTTATGTCCGGCGCTGTATGCATGGCTTGCAAGTTTCACGTTATATTGTTGGCTAGGAAAATATGTAAATGTGAGACCAGAAATGTAAATCACCGTTCCAGTCGGGCGAGACTTCCGCACTCAGAAAAAGGTGGAATAGATTTTGTTTTATTAACGTCTACATCAGTGGTGCAGTCCTACGCAAAAAAGTTGTTTACTATTAACCAGTCGAGCACAAAAGTAAATGTTTTTAAGCTGTTGGTTTATAAGTACTTTATATAGTTCTATACACTTTATGTACTTTATATAGTGCTTTATATATGCTCCAATTTAAAAAAAATGTAGGAGCACAGTCAGAAAACTTAAGAGCCCCTTTTGATCAATAACCTAAAATTAGGCTTTCCATTACAAGGTGATATTTGACTCCATAAAGTGATTTACAGTGGCATTTTTTTTAACCTTTGTTATAGCATTTTTTCTAACTTTATTAAAAGTATGTCATCTTTTGTCAAATTCAAAAAAATATATTCATAAGCTTTTCCAAAATTTCTAAATTAAAACAACAGAATAAGAACAAGTAGAGTTAGAAGAATAAGTTACCAATAAAATAAAAAAATCAATAACAAAATTAATTTGCACTACAGAGGTGGCACAGAACAACACAGGCATGGATGTTTTAAATTCATAGCAATATTATGAGATTATTGTTTTCAATATAAAAATTTGAATATAGAAATATTGATTGATTTAAGTGATTTAAATAACTGACATTTTAGTAAACAACTGACTTTAAAGGAGGCATAATACACACAGTTTCACCCAATCTCATGTTAATCTTGAGTACCTATAGAGTAGGGTTGTAACGGTGAGGAAATTTTCCCACCGGTTAATCGACGTGTGACAACACCGGTAATACCGGTATCACCGTGGGGGCGGGGCGTTCCCTCTTTTCCTCGCTTTCCTTCGCTTTTAAATAGCTTGTAAATGCGGTGTGCGCATTTTACTTTCTCTTTGAAATAGATGCTGGGTTCTTTAGGAAGCTGAACAAAGTTATCTTTCCCTTACAACCAAAAACACACTTGTTTGGATTGGAGACATTCTTCCCTAACATGTCCCGTGCAGCGCTGCCACCGAATGAAGCGCGTTGATGGGCGCGATCTCGCTCTTGCTCTGGTCGATATGTGCGTGGGCGCGCTCTTCTGGGAGAAATACCCATATAAGGAGTTCCACCCTCGTTTACGTCATTAAGAGCCACTATCGAAAAAAACTCTCCGAAACTTGTACGAACCCGGAAGTAAGATTTTTGGCACAGAAATACTCCAT